ACTTTGCTCTGGCCACGCCAGCAATGTTTATCTTGTGCTAAGCGCCCAATTTTCAAACCAGCGACTTCAGTCTAAATGGTTTTTTAAAATTCCCTTATAGTGATGCTGTTCTGTGATGCAATTCCTATGTGAACCACAAGGTGGTGCTGCAGACAGATCTAGGGATTTGTTTGAAAGGAGTGGTTTAAGCATATCTGTGTTTTTACGAATTATGATATAGCTACACAATTAAATATTAAGCACCCATTTGAAAGGATGAGGTAAAGCTATATGGCTTTTAAGAAATATCTTCAAGATATGCCACTAAGTAAGAAAAGCAAGTCAGTAAGCAATGTGTACAGCATGATTATATTTGTCTAATTAGAAAAAGAATATAAATACATATGCAGGTACAGGCATAATTTTTTCCTGAGAGTATTAAAAAAATAGTGTTAACAGTTATTACTCTGAGGAGTAATTTAAAATCATTAATTTAAAATCATTATTGCAAAAACAATCCAATTGCTGTTAAAAATTTAAATACTGCAGAAGTTAATCAAAGTCCCTTCCGCCCCCCTCCTTAATTCCACTCCCCAGAGGACAGGTAGCCACATATGTGAGTTTGGGACCTCACTACTCAGAGTATGGTTTCCAGAACAGCAACATCAGGATCATCTGGGAAGCTGCTAAGAAAAGGGGATTCTTGTGCCTCACCCCAGACTTGCTCAAACTCCATAGTGGGGCTGAGTAATCTGGGTTTTAAAAAGTTCTTTTGGTTATTTTGATGCGTGCTCAAACCATTTCGTTTTAACAGGTTAAACCATATCTTTTGGGGGGTGGTCGAGAAGAATCCCGCTACAGGAAACTAAGAACTCAAAACAGCATGTCTCTATTCACCCAGAGAGCTCTAGCTCAAGGGTTGGCAGCCTCTTGAATACACTGTGATCTCTCTGTTGGGGTCGACTGAGGACTGTATTGTCACAGTTTGGAGGCATGATCCAGAAAAGGGGGCACGCTAGCGTGAAAACAGAAAAGGGAGTGGAGGAGAAACTTAAAGGAGGAGGAATAGGGAAAAGAAAGATGGCAGAGCAAGAATGCAAATAAAACCACCACAGGATGGCAGTTAGATGACATTGATACCTCACGGCCACTCATTCATGTATTTCATAATTTTTTTTCAGGAAAACTTTTCTTTTTATTTCTTTTTGAATTTTTTTTAAGATTTTGTTTATTTTTTAATTTTTTTTTAAAGATTCTATTTATTTATTCATGAAAGACAGAGAGAGAGAGAGGCAGAGGGAGAAGCAGGCTCCCAAGGGGCAGGGAGCCCGACGCGGGACTCAATCCCAGGACCCTGGGATCATGACCTGAGCCAAAGGCAGACGCTTAATGACTGAGCCACCCAGGCGCCCCTATTTTTTAATTTTTTAAAAAAGATTGTATTTATTTATTTGAAAGAGACAGAGATAGGGAGAGAGAGCACGAGCAGGGAGGAGAGGGAGAAGCAGGTTCCCCACGGAGCAGGGAGCCCAATCTGGGGCTCGATCCCAGGATCATGACCTGAGCCGAAGGCAGATGCTCAACCAACTGAGCCACCCAGGCTCCCCAAAACTTTTCTTTTTTTAAACTGAGGTATAGTTGACACACAATTTACATTGGTTTCCGGTGTACAACGTAGCAACTGGACAAATCTATATGTTATGCTACACTCACCATGAGCATAGCTACCATCCGTCACAGTACAACATGATTACAATACCATCAACTGTACCCCTTATGTTTCGTAAGCATTATCACGGTCTCATTCTAAATTTCTGTATCTTTATGTCCCTTTCCCCCCTCTGACCCACACATTTCATTGTCTGTCATTTACCAAATCTGATAGGACCATTATTTCTCACGCCATTCAGAGTGTTCACATTTAGGGATGTGTTTGCCAGCGATTTCCCGTTCCCTGGCCAAAAAGTCATGAGCTCGCAAAGCCGCTCAAAAGAGTCACAGGGGCCCCTGGCTGGCTCAGTCAGTGGAACGTGCGACTCTTGATCTCGGAGTTGTGGGTTCGAGCCCCACATTGGGTGTAGAGATTACTTGAAAAAAAAAATTTTTTTTTAAAGAGTCATAAACAGGGGATGCTGCCTGGCTTGGTTGAGCGTGTGGCTCTTGATTTCAGGGTCGTGAGTTCGAGCCCCCCGTTGGATGTAAAGCTTGCTTAAATGAATAAATAAATAAAAACTTAAAAAAAAAAGAGTCATAATCTACCTATGGGGGTAGAGGGTGGGGACGGGGTGTGCTGAGGATTTCTGCACACTGGGGAGGTAGGTGGTGTGCTAGGAGAGAGGAGGTGCACTTAAAAGCACTCTGGATGCGGCAGCAGCAACCATCAAGACACCGGATGTGAAGCTCAGAGGGGAGGGGATCCCACAGAGTTTCTCAAACATGGATGCTGGTCCCACAAGTACACATCTGCCTCCAATACGAAAGAGCTTGTGCTAAGCTCCTTTGACTGTGCTGGGGTCATGGGACACTGCCTGCCAAAGGGACTGGTTCTCACGAAATGGTGGTGAGTATGGAAGCTCAGACCAAACAAAGATTTGAGAATGTTTAATCGATTCATTCTAACAACACACCCACCATTTACTTACCGCTTCAAAAACATTGTTCTGTCTCCTGAGGTTCCTGTCCTAGTCAGGGAGCTAGTGTTTGTTTTTGGTCAGGGGAAAAGGTTGTGATGGGGAGATTTAGCTTACCAATCTGTTTATATCTCACTGTCTTCCATTTTTTTATTTGATGATACCTGCTGAAAGTTAAGGGCAACAATTTATTAAGCTGGACATTTCACTAACTGTGACGCTGTTTCCTTATATTTTCAATAAATGAACATTTATTCTTATAGAATCTTAGCTGGGACCACCTTAGAGATCATCGCTGGCCTGTTAACATTGTCTTGGGGAGTTTAGAGAAAAATACAATGCCCAGGCCCCACTCCCTACCAGCTGAACCAGAACCTCAAGGGCTGGGACCAAGGGGCAATGCTAGTTTTTTTTTTTTTTTAATATTTTATTTATTTATTTGACAGATAGAGAGCACAAGTAGGCAGAGTGGCAGGCAGAGGGAGAGGGAGAAGCAGGCTCCCCGCCAAGCAGGGAGCCGGACGTGGGGCTTGATCCCAGGACCCCAGGATCATGACCTGAGCCGAAGGCAGCTGCCCAACCGACTGAGCCACCCAGGCGCCCACAATGCTAGTTTTAAGGTCCCACCAGTTATTCCTGTGCAGCCAGGATTGAGAAACTGCTCTGGTCTCCTTTTATTTTATGGATAAAAATACAGAAGTTAAAGAGATGAAGTGACTTGCACTCACTTTGGCAGCACATGTACTAAAAGAGATGAAGTGATTTGCCCAAGGTCACGCTGCCAATAAAGGGTATCTAACTTTTCTGACTGCCCATCCAATGTTCTTTCCACTATGCTCTTTTTGCGTCTTCTTCTAGAACTTAGGGTTTCGCTGAACATTATAGTTAGGTGATTTACAGTTGAGGGAGAAGGGACAGAGTCCATCAGTAAGGATGGGTGGGAAAACTTGTAAGGCCTCAACTCAATCAAGGATTCTCCAGGACATGGCTCCTTTCAAGTCGTATTGGTGGTAGGACAGTCAAATGACCTTCTTTTGCTAAAAGCATTGTCTAATACTGTAGCGTATATTAGTTCCTCATAGAGCAAGTCAGCTGCTCATGACTCAGTTGCACCTATGAAGAAGTCATGAATAAGTGTTCTCACTTTCAGGAATTAATCATATTAAAGCAAATGACAGGATATACCAATGACTCCTAATTTTTGAGCAGGGGTGGTTGTAGGATGAGGACTCACAGGTCCCATTTGAGAACAGGTAAAAGCTATAGCCCCTCTCCCCCTGAAAAATACACATACATAAGTGTTGCAAGTAATTTCTGGAGATTCACAGACGGTCCCCTCCACCCTCGCCCACCCCCGGCAAGTTCATCCGTTGACACCAGATTAAGATCTCCGGGGCTAGATGCCTTTGGAGCTCTATTTTTTAATGTTTCTCAAAGTGTAGTCCGGGAACCACAGAAATCGGAATCACCTGGGGTGTTTGTTCAAAAAGCGGACTCCAAGGGCAGCCAGAGACCTACTGTTTCAGAATCTCTGCGAATGAGGTATAGGAGTCTGTATGATATTAAAACTCCCTAGATGATTCTTTCTGACACTAACATTTGAGAATTAGTGCTTTATCCCAACTTGAGATTTTTTTATAGTTTTTGAATGCTTTCCTCTGTTGACTATTTTAGGTTTCATCTGTTCAATTGTTAAGTATACCCAATAGTATGTTTAGTATGAATTCATTAAAGAATATTCACATGTGGATATGCATAGGAAAAGGAACTGGAAGGATAGCTAGATAATCATCTGTCTCTGGGTAGTGGGAATATGGATGAGCTTTATTTTTCCCCCTTTATCTTCCTATTTTATTTTTCTCTTTCCTATTTTCTTTCTTTCTGTATTTAAAGAAGATTCTTCCTCTTTCTGAGTTCAATTCCTCCATCCGAAAAACAGGGTATTGTAACTAGGCGAACTTCAAGGCCACGTCTTGCTCTGGCGATCCGCGACACCATATTACCCCCTAGCTCCCTTATCCATTTAATCAGTCACATGAACAGCAGGGGTAACAACAGTGTTCCTAGAACAATTGTGTATTATTTTTATATATATTACGTTGTGATGCTTAGCAACCTTTTTAATTCAACAAAATTATTCTCTTCCTCCTCAAGGAGTTGGAACTGAAATGAACTCTACTACGTACACCCCGGAAAGTTAATCCTCTCTTTCAAGCCTTAGAAAAAGCCGTCCGCACAGAGCTCTTAGGCGCATAAGAGTGATTGTGAACCAAAAAGCCAGGGCGTGGTCGCCCCGCCCACCGGCTCCTACATCACCACCCCTCTCGCCGCTTTCAAGCGCGGAGATTGGCTAAAGGCAAGAACGAGCCCCGCCCCTAGTCTTATGACCCGAGCTGAAGCGCCGAATCTTGGCGTTTGCGGGGCTGTGGTCAGTGGTCCGCCGTGCTCTTGGCCCGGTTCCCCAAAGCCTTTTCGCTGGTGTTGCCGCTGCCGTTGCCGCCGCCGCCGCCGCCACCTCCACCCCGAGCAGCCGCCGCCGCCTCCTGCTTTGCGGAATCATGGTGTGCTTCCGCCTCTCCCCGGTTCCGGGCTCGGGGCTCGTTCTGCTCTGCCTTGTCCTGGGTGAGTTGTCGGGCCCTCCTGCTCTGTCCCTCAGCCTGGGCCCGGGGAGCCCAGTTCAAAGGCCACAAACCTGAAAGACTGGTCCGGGGGAAGGCGGGGGGGGGGGGTTGAGAGGCTGAGCGGCTGACACTGGGCGGCGGCGCTTGGCCCGGGGAGGCGAGCCGTGACCTAGAGAAGGCCTGACCGAGGGATGGCGGGGAAGAAGGGCCCGTGAGAGTGAGAAGGGGCAAGTAAGCGCGCGGGGGGGGGGGGCGCCGAGGGAGTAGGTGGGGAAGAGTGAGGAGTGGAGCCGATCTGGGTAGGAAGAGTAACTTCGGGGAGATACTGAGGAGTGAGTCGTGGGAGGGACAGAGTCCTGGTTTCTTAGGATCAGGGAAGAGTTTTGAAGATGGTGGAAAATTATGGGATGAGAGCGAAAATTGGGGAGGGAAGAGACTGTCGCCTGCATGAAGAAGCTTGGGGGAAGGGTGGGGGGTAGGGGCAGATATGACAGTAGAGTCTGGGGCACAGCGAGGGGGCTGGGGGGGCGGTTTGTGGGTGGGAATTTGAGGCCCAGGAGGAAGGGTGAGTAAAGAGATGAGGAATGATGCCGGATTTGAGTTTGGTAGTTGGAGTTTTGAGGGGGTAGGGACCTAAGGTGGCCCGGGGCAATTTCCAGGCGAGAAAACTCGGACCTAATCTCCGGAGACTAAAAGGAAGAGGGGGAACTTTGGTGGGGAGTGAAGATCTGACTTGGAGGTGTTGAGGATGTCGGTTTCCTTTTCTTTTTTAAGATTTTATTTATTTATTTATTTGAGAGAGAGAATGAGAGAGCACATGAGAGGGGGGAGGGTCAGAGGGAGAAGCAGACTCCCCGCTGAGCAGGGGGCCCAGTGCGGGCCCGATCTCAGGACTCCACGATCATGACCTGAGCCAAAGGCAGTCGTTTAACCAACTGAGCTACCCAGGCGTCGTAGGATGTCCGTTTAAAAAGACTTAAAAACAACCTCCAGGTATTTCGGTTGGGAGGGCCTCCCGGATGTGAGGTTTTGGGGGTGGTGGTCGGAGTCGTGTACGCTGCCTCTCTCCCTTCAGAAGCTCCTTTTCAGTGGCACAGCTGGCCATTTTTTTTTTCATTTTTGGAGGAGAAAGATAGGTAACCTGTCAAAGACTGGGTTGTTACCAAGTCATAAGAATGGCTGGATGAATGTTGGCTGACTGTGTTATACCCCCCTCCCCCAGAGATCACTGGGTCCCCGAGGGCTGTAATGTCTGAAAGGTGAACTTTGACCAGAAGGTCTCTTCCTGACCTCATTCATCCTGTGCTTGTTGCTATCCACCGACTTGCTGTTTGTGACCCCAAAAAAAAAAAAAAAGAAGAAGAAGAAAAAACCCAGAAGGAACAGACCCAGATGGGAGTGGCGAGTAAATAGAGATAATAGGGGTCCGAGAAGGCAGTGAGAGGTGCACATGCTGTAATTCACATTTCAGTAGCATAAAATCAGCACCCTAAAATAGTGGATTCTCAAACAGGGGCATTTGGCAATATCTGGAGACATTTTGGTCGCAACAGGGGATTGCGTTTGGCATCTGGTGGGTAGAGGCTGGGGATTCTGCTAAACATCCTACAGTACACAAAATAGTGTCCCCCCGACAAAGAATTATCCACCTCAAAATGTCAGTAGTGCCGAAGTTGAGCAGTCTTGCTCCAGAGTGATAGCGCTGGAAGGGTTCTTGATGATCTGATCTAGTGATTCTCAAGGATCTTTTTGAGGGGGTGCCTGTCAGATAAAACTTATTTCTAAAAGAATACCAAGAAGTTATTTGTCTTTTTCACTCACACTCTCACCAGTGTACAGTGTGTACAGTGGAGTTTTCCAGAGGCTTCATCCTGTGTGATGACATCACCACTCTGATGGCTCTGATGTTGTGTTTTATTCACTTCTCATTTTTAATTTCGAGCATGGCAAATACCAATAGATAGAACGCACGTAAACCAAAGCTCTTTGAAGTCCTCAGTGGGTAAGAGAGTAAGGGGTCCTGATACCAAACGTTTCGGACTCCCCGAACTAGTGCAGCTCTCCAAATAGGCAGGAGACGCCTCCATAGCCCCTCTGAAAGGGGGCCGTGGAGACTTTGCTCAAATACAATTCGATGGTCTAACACTGCTGTGAAGCACTTACTGAGGAGCCGGTGACCCTAGGAGAGGATTGTTTACAACGAAAAGCACCTTATCAGTGGCTAGAACACATCTGACTGAGGCATCTGTTAATCAGTAGTGCACTGCCAATTGAATCTGCACAAACACAACACGGTTATTGTTTAGAGAAAGTGAAAAAAAATAATAGCTGTCCTGCTTGTTGGCTTTCGTGTCATTAGATTTTTTTTTTTAATGAAAGCTTTTTTGTTTTGTTTTTACAAAAGCAATGCTTGCTCATTGCAGAAAATAAACAGGCAAAAAGAAGCACATAAAAGAACCCGTCAGCTCATCTGCTAGTTTGCCTAAATTTATTGATCGGGACTAACTAGATTCATCTTCTTGGAAGATTTCCAAGGTCGATTTCCTCCACTTCCAGGTTTAGAACAGGATTTGGAGGAGTAAAAGTTCATAATGTACCTAGACTAGATTTTTCAGACGATGTCAGGGTGAAATAGAAATCATCTCTTTGATACAGCTTTTTCTGGCAGCTGCAGGTTCAGGGTGGAGCTCAGACTCCTTCCATGCGGCTTTCTGTCTTAAGACTTGAGCCCATCTTGAGTTGCTTGGTGGGTTTTGCATACATCACAGTGGACACCAGGAATAGGGTTTTTAAGAACTCCGTAAATATTTGTAAGGGAGCTGCTGTGAATCTTGTGCTCTTCCGGGGTACCACTGAAGGGGGATCTGTCCTGAATTTATAGTCTCATTAGCTTGAGGGCTCAAGCTGTGCCAGTTTCACTTTGCAACTTTATAACTATTCTGGCTCCCCAGAAACTTTTTAAAAATAGCTGCTTTAGAGCAAGTATAGAGGAGAGTTCTTAGGGGTTATGTATTATTATTGGTCCTTTTCACAGAGATTAAGTTATGCTCTTTATTTGAATGAATTATAACCGACTAGAGAACTTTCTGAAGAAAAGCTCTGTGAGTTTTCTGAAGAAAAGCTATACAGATGCATTATAAAGAGAGTAGTGGCTAAAAATCATTTCCTAGCATCGTTGCCTAAGTGTTTTTTCTTTGTGATGTCATAGATTTCAGAATTCTTCTGTTGTCATAGATTTTTACAACTAGTTTGACTTCTTGGTGCTTTTCTGGGTGGGAGAAACCTCATATAAATATCCTGAGTGTGCTTCACTGGTAGGAGGCCCCCTTCCACAAATGGTTATCTATCGATTACCCGGTGAGCGGAGACCTGAGTGTTGCAGGGAGGCCAGCCAGGTGACCATCTGGAGGAATAGGAGTAAATCTTGTCATTCCCAAACTCTTAGCTTATTAGGCTAGCCTATTTTCCCCTCTTTTTAAAAATCCCATTGCCAGGGGCCCCTGGGTGGCTCACTCGTTGGATGGCTGCCTTCGGCTCAGGTCATGATCCCAGGGTCCTGGGATCGAGCCCCGCATCGGGCTCCCTCCTGGGCAGGAAGCCTGCTTCTCCCTCTCCCACTCCCCCTGCTTGCGTTCGCTCTCTGGCTGTGTCTCTCTCTGTCAAATAAATAAATCCTTAAAAAAAAAAAAAATCCCATTGCCAGTCAGATCTCCCCTAAGGCATTAGTCTCTGAGAGCCAAGACTATCTTATGCACTGTTATTTCTCATTGCGTACTTAGCACAGCACCTGGTACATGGTTAACCCTGAGATTTTTGTTGAGGGTATTTATGGGTGGGCACTGGGGATATGACTGTAAATTAGACCAACTTGGTCTCCTTTTTCTTCCGTGAACCTTAAATTATGTTTCGCAAGAGGTGTTTTTTGTGTCTTTGTATTGAGAACTTCAAGATCAGTGCTAAGCAGTGCAGATAATTACAAACCATTTTACTGATGTATAATCCCATATCATAATGCTAGTGTCTCACTCGTACCCCTTCAGGTATACCTCCATAGTTGGCAGGGTTAACATGGAGAACTAGGAAGGCCTCGGTGGGAAGGAGAATAAGGTTTTCACAAAGAACCAATCTCCCTCCCTTTGGAGGTGATCTGAAAGAGAGAAAGTAAGCAGGAGATCTCTCTGTAACCTTAACCACATTCGTTAAGCTGATCACTTTGATTTCAAGGTTCTGCTAAAATTATTTTTAGCTATAGTAGAGATACTTGAAAGGACAGGCTTATTGTTTGTCCATTAGTCATTGGTTATCACATCTGATAGGATTATAGATATTCAAATATTTCCCAGGAGCGCAGCTTTCTTCCATATCCTTGAGTGGAATTTGCGATTGACAATGATTTCATAGCAGTGTAGCTGACTTAAGTGATCCTTGGTGCAGGAAGCCTGCTCTTTCTCCTGTAGTGACAAAAGCATTCCGATCATAATTTCTTATTAAAGTGATCAGAGATCGCCTCGGATCCAAAAGTGTACTCTGTAAGTGCTTGTTGTTATCTTGCTGTGCGTTGCAAAAGAATTCTGGAGGTCTGCCAAACACCACTCACTCAGCAATATGCATTTTCCATTAGTTGAATAGTGTTGAAGCTCACTTCCTTACTCACTGCCTGATCTTAAATTATTTTGTAGCTTAAAATCATTTTATTACTTTTCTTTTTAAAAGAGATTTACCAGAAATTGAGAGTATCAGCAGCTGAATGGGTGGTTGTACCTATATTAGGAAGCATAAATGAGGACTTAATGAATGAGGAACAGTTAATCTGATTTATTAAACCTATGAACAGCAAAGAAAGAATAAATAGGTACTGTATGCCTATGTCGTGTTTTTGTTGTTGTTTTTTTTAAGACCCTTTGCCCAACATCATTCTGAACTGATGAGTTTGAGTTCAGGAGTTCATAACTTAACACGATGAAAGTAAACATAGAATTAAAATTTGGGAAGGATTCCTTT